AACAATGGTTTACATGGTGCTATTTAAAAGCATTAGCAAATGATAAAGGCTAACCTAGGAAATCTAAAACATTAATTGTCCACTAACATATGCCTAAAGGACACACCCCTTCACCACAAACTCTTCATATTTTATTTTATTTTATTTTAAATAAAGTTTAATCACAACAAAACTGCCCCTTAAACTTTAATATCTCTGCCGTCCTTCATTCCCATTTTCTTCTTACAATTTTCTAACAGCAATGTCGGGAGTGGCTTTGTAAAGATGTCACCAACTTGATCTCGGCTTGCAACATGATTTAGCTCCACTTTTTCTTCTTTAACTTGATCCCGGATAAAATGAAATTTCACATCAATATGTTTGCTCATCTCATGATTGACCGAGTTATTAGCTAACTCGATCGCAAACTTGTTGTCAACTCGAATCTCGGTTGGGCCAACTTGCTCTTGCTCTAGCTTGCTTAGTAAATTCCTCAGCCATATTGCATGGCAAACACACCAAGATGCCGCAACATACTCGGCTTCACATGTAGACAGGGTCACAATGGGTTCCTTCTTTGACACCCACGTGAAAGCCGTGTTTCCCATGAAAAACACATAGCCAGCCGTGCTCTTCCTGTCATCCACATCTCCACACCAGTCACTATCCGAGTAGCCTGTCAGCTTGTACTTGTCCGACTTCGAATAATGAATTCCTCGCGAGATTGTTCCTTGAACATATCTTAAGATCCTCTTTGCCGCCTTCCAATGAGTATAGCTCGGCTCTTCCATAAATCGGCTTATTATTCCAACACTCAGACACAGATCCGGTCTCGTACACGTCAAGTACCTCAGACTTCCAACTAGACTCCGATAGTAACTCGGATCAACTCTCTCTCCTCCATCATACTTCGAGAGTTTCAAACTGGGTTCCATTGGCGTTGAAACCGGGTTGCAGTCTATCATTTTGAACTTATTCAGAATGTCCTTCGCATAAGCCTCTTGAGATATGAAGATTCCAGATTTGTCTTGTCTTACTTCTAGACCAAGAAAGTATCTCATCAGACCGAGATCCGCCATCTCGAATTCTTCCGTCATTCTCTTCTTGAAGTCTTTTATCATTCCTTCATCATTACCCAGAAAATTTAAATCATCAACATATAAGGCAACAAGTAAAATTTTACCTTCCTTCTTCTTTACATAGAGAGCATGTTCATACGGACACTGCTCAAATCCATCATTCTTAAAGTAACTATCAATCCTCGTGTTCCAGGCTCTTGGGGCCTGCTTCAAACCATATAAGGCTTTCTTTAATCTCAACACTTTTCTTTCTTCTCCGACTTTCATGAATCCCGGAGGTTGTTCGAGATACACCTCTTCCTCGAGTACTCCATTCAAAAATGCCGACTTTACATCCATCAGATAGATTGGCCATCCAAATTGGGTTGCTTGAGAAATCAACAGCCGTATTGTCTCCATTCTCGCCACGGGTGCAAACACCTCGTCATAGTCTACTCCAGTCTTCTGCTTATACCCTTTCGCCACTAGCCGGGCTTTGAATCTCTCTATCTCACCCTTAGCATTCATTTTCTTCTTGTAGACCCATTTTACACCAATTGGCCGACTTCCCTTTGGTAGCTCGGCTAACTCCCACGTCTTGTTCTTTTCTATCGCCTTCATTTCCTCTTCCATGGCAGATTTCCATTTCTCATCTCGGACAGCTTCCTCGAAGCTCAACTCCTCAGAATCTACTAACAAACATACCAGGTGTGCTTCATTGGTTGAGTCATACAAATCTTGTAGGCTTCTCAATCTCGGTTGTCTTTGCTCTTCATCACTATCAGAGTCATTCAGATTCTCTGGAATCCGGGTCGAATGTTGTCCGACCTCAATTGTTATGTGTCCGGGTTCCACATTGACCCTGGATCGACTACTCCAGTCCCATCCATCTTCCTTATTTACTTTCACATCTCGGCTCACCAACACCCTTTTACTGACGGGGTCCACCAACTTGTACCCCTTCGTCTTCTCATCATAACCAATGAACACGAACTTCTTACTTTTGTCTTCAAGCTTCTTCCTCAACTGATCTGGTATGTGTGCATACGCAACACTCCCAAATTTTTTAAAATGACCCACTGAGGGCTTCAAACCACTCCACGCTTCCTGCGGGGTTTTATCATTCAGACTCGAATGAGCACATCGGTTCTGCACGTACACTGCACACTGTACGGCTTCTCCCCAGAACTCCTTTGGCATGTTCTTTGTTTTCAGCATAGATCGGACCATATCCAGGATAGTCCGGTTCTTCCTCTCAGCTACTCTATTTTGCTGGGGTGAGTATGGCGCGGTCAGAAATCGCCTTATCCCGTGTTCTGCACAATATCTTTTAAACACTATTGACACATACTCCCCACCTTGGTCTGAACGGACCGACTTGATGTATCTTCCAGTTGTATTTTCAATCATCACTTTAAACCTTTTAAAGGTATCCAGCACCTCGGATTTTTCTTTCAGAAAATAAACCCAAGTCTTACGACTAAACTCATCAATAAACGAGACAAAATATCTTTTTCCACTAAAGGACCCCGGAGTTATGGGTCCACACAGGTCGGTATGAATAAGTTCCAGAGGCTGCTTAGCCCGGTATCTCGCCGTCCTTTGGAATGGGCTCCTTGCGTGTTTTCCCAATATGCAGTCCTCACAAAACTTTCCCTCAGAGTTTATCTTCGGCAGTCCCACCACCATGTTCTTCTTCATCATCTCGGTCAGACCACCATAATGAAGGTGTCCAAACCGTCTATGCCACAAATCCATCTTATCTTCTACCCCGGCTTGCAGACAGCCGACCTCCAAGCTCCTCACTTTTAGTTTGTACATCATATTCTTCTCCATCTGAACTCGGGCATCAACCGCCCTTGCTTATCTTTCAACAGTAGAACTCGGTCTGTCATTAGAACCGAGTAACCCTTCTCCATCAGTTGTCCAATGCTCAATATGTTACTCTTGAGCTCATGCACGTAATACACATCCTGAATCGTTCCAACCCGTCCGTCCTTTTGTAGAAAACAGACCGTACCACGGCCTTTTACATCAATTTTGGATGCGTCTCCGAAAGAGACCTGTCCGGCTTCCACCGTCCTCAATTCTTTGAACAAATGTTTGTAACCACACATGTGATTACTGGCACCGGTATCTAAATACCACTCCGTCTCACTCTTCAAACTCGTCTCACCTTGTGCCAACATCAGAACTCCTTCATCTCTTATCTCTCCTTCTGCAGCAAAGTTTGACGTTCCGTCAACTCTCCTTTCATCTCGGCAATCCTTCGCGAAATGCCCAACTCGGCCACAGTTGTAGCATCTGCCCGAGTTGCAGTCCTTTGAATAATGGCCATACTTGCCACACTTATAACACTCTACATTACTTTGATTTGACCACCGGCCTCTTCCACCTCGGCCACGTCCTCTTCCTCTCCAGTTTTGCTGACTCAGCTCAGTTCTTTCTTCATTTCTCACCTCATGACCTCAGCCACGACCACCTCGGCCATTTCCACGTCCAGTTCGTCCACGACCTCTACCTCGGACATTCTGAGAATAGAGCGCCTTCTGATCCTTAATGGTTTCTTTTGTCTGGAGTGCTTGCTCCAGCGAATCCTCCTTATTCTTCTTCTTGCACTGCTCATGCGCCTCAAGGGAACCTGCTAGCTCGTCAACAAAGAGCGTAGACAAGTCCTTGGACTCCTTGATTGCACACACCACGTTCTCGAAGTCGTCTGTCAACGACCTCATAATCTTTTCTACTACTCTGGAGTCGGCCAATGCCTCTCCATTCCTCTTCAACTGGTTCACAACGGTTTGAACCCGGGTGATGAAATCCTACACTCCTTCGGTCTCCTTCATTTTCATCCCCTCCAACTCTCCTCGAAGAGTTTGAAGCCTGACCTGCTTCACACGGTCAGCACCTCGGTAGACCGTCTCCAATATGTCCCAGGCCTCCTTAGCCATTGTTGTGCCTCCAATCTTCTCAATACCACCGCACTCTTCAACAGCTTGAAGCATCATAAATAGTGCCGCTGCATCCTTCGATTTTGACAAACTCAACTGCTTTAGTTGGTTTCCTGAGTATCCTTCTGTTGTTTCAGGTTCTACGAACCCATTTTGCACCAAATTCCAACTATCACACGCTCTTAGGAGAGCCTTCATTTGGATGCTCCAATTCTCATAGTTGCCCTTTTTCAGGCGGGGCACTGGCAGACCATTACTCACACCTTCCATTGATATTAAGCTCTGATACCAATTTGTTATTTTCACAGGTCCTAATACTGTTTCTCTCACACACAAAAATACACAAATAGTTCTCTGAATATACTTCTATATTATTACTGATTCTGCGAAAGCCTCTCTCAAACAATGGTTTACATTGTGCTATTTAAAAGCATTAGCAAATGATAAAGGCTAACCTAGGAAATCTAAAACATTAATTGTCCACTAACATATGCCTAAGGGACACACCCCTTCACCACAAACTCTTCATTTTCTATTTTCTTTTATTTTAAATAAAGTTTAAACCCAACACCCTTCTATGTGTTAGATCTATTATTTTTATGCTGTCAAATTCTGGGTCTTCATTTATGTTTTATAGTTACGTATCAAAAAAAAAAATTAGAGGCTCAGAACAAGTCAGCTTCTGGTTGCTAGTGTAGCCCACTTTTCCAACTGTGGCAATCTGATTGCTCATCATCTTCAGCGTTCACACTGCTCTGTCCAGAACTTGAAAGAGCTTTAGCAGACCCTCTTAGAAAGAGAGGACCTTGTGGAGAACCTGATAAGTTTCCCTTTGATTTATGTCCACATTGATCTTGTGCCATCCATAAGCCTTTATTAGCTTGGCCAACTGAAGAGTCTGGAACTCTTCTAAAATGAAGCCTATACTTCTGAATAAACCACAGATTTGCATAAATCATCATTGAGAAGAATAAAGGATGCAAAAAGTTCAATAGTGATAATAATAAACACTCACTTGCAAATGGCTTTTGACTTCATCATTTGTCAAGCCTCCCACCTGCATCAATTCTCTAATCTGCTTAGGAGTGGCCACTGCAATATACAACAAACCAATTAGGGGGCGTTTGGTTGAGGATAAATTTTTTGAATACTGGGAAAATGTAATTGATAGGGAAATGGTTGAAAAGTGAGTTAGGTAGGAAAATGTAAAAAAAGTTGTTTGGTTTGAACAAATTTTACTGGGCAAATTAGGTAAGATTTATAAAATCTATGTTTGGTTTGAGGTAAAATATAGATGGGAAAATAAGTGACAATTACGAAAATATCCTCTTATTAAAATTTTTAAAACAAAAAAGAAAAAGAAAAGAAGATAGAGAACAGAGACAATGGAAAAATATCTGTTGGCGAAAATATCCTTGTAAGCAAGTGGTGACGTGGCGTGCCTCTATATATATGCCTAAACTTCCAAACTTCACCGTGAACGTCCTTGGCGATCACCATCTGAACTGGTGGTTCAGCCGAGTAATCCAGCCGCGGAAAGATGGTTTCCACGCAGTACCTTGGAACAGAGAACCCCCCACCATTGTTTGCATCGGATTGAGTTAACGTCTTGGTAAAAGATGCAGGCTTTTCTGAACTCTCGGAGGCATCACCGTCAAGACCACCACCATGTGATTGAAGAAGAGTGTTGGCTTCCACTGTGATACTCATACTATAGACACACAATCACTATCAATCAATCTAAAGCATAATTAACAAGTCAATAACAACGGTAGTTAAGGAGAACAAGAGGAAAAAAAAGGAATACACAGAGGAATGAAGTCAAAAAAGGAAGATAGTAGAATTAATAGGAAAAAAAAATGAAATAAGAATGAACTCATGGGATCAAAATTAGTGGGCTGTAAACTGTGAAGTGCAAAGTACAAAATACAGCCCAAAGAGAGAGAGAGAACAGAGACAGATACGTGCATGAATCAGATCTGTGACAAAGGAGGGAGGAGAGAAGAAGTTATGTTGGAACCAAACCAACAGAGAACATGCATGAATTAATAGAGGGCAAACAACGATCAGTAAGTTGCTGGAAGTTCAAAACAGAGGTGGGGCAGTGGTTTTTCAACGAAGGGACATGATACAAAGAGGGGTAAAGTGGGTTTTTATTCGCCGGACCAACATTAGAACAAATTCAAATCACAAAAATTTGAAGCTCTTGTAAAAACTTTTGCAACCAGATTCTTCAAAGCAGTGACACAAGCCTAGCTAAATGGCACAAAAGATGCGTCTCTCGAAAGCAAATCAGAGGGTATATTTGGTAAGATTTGTTGTGGTCCATGTGATTTAGCCGGTTATCATCAAAAAACCACCTCCCCATTTGCTTTTTAAACAGTGCATAAGCCTAGCTAAATGGCACAAAATTGAAAATCCTATGCATCCTGCTTCCCTAGGTTTTGAGCCATTTCTCCCTCCTCCAAACGCATGCTTCCCAAAATCCCAACATCATTTGCATAGGATAATTTAAAAAACCCCTCAACCAAACACCACCTTAGAGATAAGACCCACTTTTTAAATTCTAGATGGAATAAGCTGCAATAAACCAATTAGAGGTAAGGATTTTAGCCCACTCCAATTTGCAAAAGAAGGAACCAATTCACTTCTAAACCTTTTACCCCATTAATTAAGCATGGTAAAAGTGTAAACTTTAATATACCTTGTGGTCCTCCCAATTGATGAAGCGCATCAACAAATCGCCGATGAAGCTCTGGTGACCAGCATCGCCTTTGTTTCCTCGGATTCTGTTGTTGTTGTTGCGGTTGACCCTTAATCTTGCTTGTAATCAAAGACGAATCATGACTACCTCCACAACCCCTTTTGGATTTTCTATGATTCTGTTCAAACTCTGGAGTCATCAAACTAAGTTTAGGAAAATGTGAAACCTCCTTTTCATCCCTTTTCACTGTCTTTGAGTTTCCACTGAATGCTAGAAATGCTCTTCCATTGTTGTTGGTCTCGTTCGGTGGTTCAATTGGGTTCTCGGGCACAGACCAATTATCTTCTTCAGTTCTCTGCCACCACCAAAAAAAGAGACACACAAGTTTTGGTCTTAGTTTTGCGTAAACTACAGCAAAGTACAGTCTTTTATTATTATTATCATTAACAAAAACTATGCTCTCAAATTTACCAATTTGGTTTCAACGCTCCATAGCTGAGCAGAGCTCATCCAGTTCTTCTTGTCACTAATTTCCTTCCACATGTTCAATGACCCTTTTCCTTCAAAATTGGTTTTCATCAGTGGCATCAATTCTTCAACCACGGGTTCATCTTGCATTCTCATACACCCTTCTATTTCCTCCTTCAATCTAGCTATAGCTGCAAGAATGCCCAAAAAAATAATATTTGTCAACAAAAGTATAAAATGCACAATAATCACTAAAAAAATTTCTAATTTGAAAACTATAAAAAAGAAAAAATCTGTTAAGGGTGTGATAATTAACCCACCATAGTTTACGAGGATCATGCATAGAGGAAGCTCACGTTTGAAGGCCTCGATCTTCCTCATCTCATCTTCCAACTTTTTGACGTAGTCCTCAAGCATGGTCATTTTCTGAGACCCTTCTTTGCTCTTAGAAACCTCGCCAAGAAGCTCAGAAATGGTTCTGGGTGCAAAGGTCAAACACAAATCCAAGCTCAGCTCCATTCTTGGGGTGTTCTCACAACAAAGTACTAATGAAAGTAACGGTTTCCCAGTTTCATTGTTGTGTCGTGTGTTTGTGTTTTAGCAGCGATACCATTTCATTACATTAAGAGAGGGAAGGAGTGAGAAGAGGATAGAGATTCATTGATATATATAAGGAAATTTCCGATTCATGACACAAAGATTCAGTGACCGCATTCGGGTCGTCGCGTAACTCCATCAATGTTATGTTACTCAAGGCCAAATGATAAAGCTACAATTTCTTTCTTTCTTTTATTAATAAAAAAAAAAAAAAGTTGAAGAAAACAAAAAGAAATAGAACAAATGGTTGTGAACCTTGTGGTTCATATTGGAATAGATTCAATGACTTGGCGTGACATAGTATTGATTGGTTGGATTAAATTAATTAATTTTGGATGAATGTGATTTCTGGGAGGTTCTTTGATCTGTAGACTGGAATCACCTATGGAAAGCCTAGGCAACGTTTACCAAGACATAAAATAAAGTTGCATAATTAATACGTGGTAGTTTGGTCATTCCATAGCCTCAATCATGACCAATTGATCGTTACTTTGCTCTCGTGTTTGGTATGTTATGTTTTCATATTTTTTAACAAATCATTAAGCATACGCCAAGATTTTGTGATATTTTGAGAACCAGCCACCACATTACAACATTGGCAACAGATCCACTTACCACCAAAAAAGTTTACAACTCTTATAACCAATTTAATTATCGTTGATTTTCGTCAATCTAACGGTTATAATTTATTAAAAATTAATAACATTTATTGTGTCACATTTATTAATTTCCAATAAATTATAACCGTTAGATTGACGGAAATCAACGGTGATTAAATTGGTTGTAAGAGTTCTAAACTTTTTTGGTGGTAAGTGAATCCTCCGCTTTGTTTTTAACTAATGTTATCAAATTCTTATAGGTCATAGGTCAATAAATTATTAATTCAATCGAGTTGAATTTTTTAAACTGAATTTATGTAATAATATATAATAAATATTAGAGACAGATTAAATTATATTTATTAATTAATTATTATCGTTAAATTAATAGAAATTAATTATTCAGGTCATGTGTGATGTGTCAAATAATTCTATCCGTATGCATTATGGTACAAGTATCACAACAAGGAGTTCACGTTAGTGTAGTCGTAAAGGTAATGTGTATTTACTTTCCAGCTCAGAATGTCGGCACAAAATTCATGTTACCTATTCATACTATGCTACGAATGAGCTTCCCTTCTATTTTTTTATTTTATTTTATTTTACTGGATGCATGAATTTAACAGTTTTTAGTATTGGGATTGTGCTCTTTTACTTAAGTTTAATTAGGTTAAGAATATGAGAAACACAAAGAATTCAGATTAGATTTCTTGGTATTCATATATATACTATCACTTAAGTCATTAGCCTCCTGATCAGTCAACTGAAAGAGTTTAGCTCAGATATGAAAAAGTGTCATACACCATTCCCTTCCCCATTGATAGATATTCTGGAAGGTATGCTTGAGGCCAACTTCAATTAGGTGATTGTTCATGCCGGGAAACTAATTCGTGAAGTCATGCTTTTACGCTAGAAAAAATAACTTTCTATGAAACCAAAATCATGATGATCTAATACATTTCAAACTATATATGATCTTAGCGTTTTCGTAGATCCAATTAGGCCTACACAAAAAAAAGTTCTTTTGTAATGTTAATGATGAAAGAGTTTCGTATGTAAAATGTAAGAATAAAATGAGTTTATTTTGCCATGTTTAAAGGGAGTCACTATAATTTATAGCTAAAGCCAAAAGACAACATGATTTGCACGTCATGTGAGGATTCTTTTGACATTATGTTATGTTCATCCCCTTTCACCATGATATTGGCATATTGCCATGTAGTTACTCCAATTCCTTTCTTTTAATAGTGTTATGGTTGGATATAGCTTATACATTTCATTCATATAATAATTTTATTTTTTTAGTAGTTTAAATTTGGGTCCATAAATATCTATTTAATATTTCAAAATCTATTTATATTCTTTTCGTAAATACAGTGAAAAAATAAAGTGAAATATTACTTAATATAACTCATATGGGATGAAACTGAATATAACTCATATGGGATGAAACAAAATAAACCTATATTGTTATAAAAAAAAATAAAAATAAATAAACCTATATCTCCATTTTTTTTTTTTTTTTGCGATGATATGTGATTGTTCGGTCCTATAAAACATCGACACTTCAAAAATCTTGACGTATCGTGTCAGACACTTTCCGACACTCGAATACTCGTTGCAAAGACTCAAAAAAATTTCAAAGATTACGTTGCGTTACATTTTGAGTTCCAACTATTAGATTCGTTAGATTACGATTACGATTTTATTGAGTTTAATATAAACTTTTGAGTTATATTATGTTTCTTTGTAAAATTAATGGGTATTATAAATTTAGCTTTATTTTTTTATTAAATTATTGAATACTAAATATAATATACACTACATCAATTAAAAATATTATATAATATCAAAATATGTCCTAACATATTAAAATTTAATATTTTTTAAAATTATCGTGTCGAAATATCGTATCGTATTGTTCTCGTGTTTCGTGTTGACGACGATACAACATAAGTTCGGTCCCCACTATTCAGTATTCACTCTCCCTCGCACCCACTAATGTGGTCCTTCCTCGAGATAGTGAGGGTATCTCCCATTCATAAATAAAATAAGATTCTTATAAAATACAAAAGAGCTGTCACCTCCTACGCCATAATAAAACGTGGCTGCCAAGAACTTGTTTTTGACGAACGGTGATATTCTTCTACCGTTCTACGCTTCTGGGGTCCTCCTTGTTGGCTACAGCTACCAGCGATCATACCTTCCCGAATTTCTGAATTTGGATGACAAAACAGCACATTTGACACAAAGACTAACGCAAACACTTTTAACGCAAGCCGTAGTACTTGCTGAGTTCAATCCATTCCTGTATTTTTTTTTTTTTAATAAACAATTGCTTTTAGAAAAAAAGTAAACATATTAACATATGAATCATTTTTATCAATATAAACTATATGTAATATAATTCTAGGATATGCAAATTTTAAGCCTCTTTTGTGTGGATTTTGTTTAGATGATTTAATGTGTAAATCTTATTGACATTCTCAAGGAAGAAGGCAGTGTCTAAGAACTTCTATTTTTTAATTTAATTTATATTACTTTACTATAGTGCATGATAATTTTTTTTTATTGAAAATTCAAGTATAAGTGATAAAAAAATCCCCAATTGAAAATTCAAGTATAATTGTTGATTTGCGAAAATCAACAAATAAAATTTGGTGTCAAATTTTAAAATTTGACACCGGTAGAAATAAAAATGAATTGTGTTATTAAACATTTTTCTTTTCCAAAAACAAAGCTAGAAAACAACTCCCAGAGTGATATTCAAAAATCAGGACGGATTAAAATTCTGTAGAAGACTTACAATAGCTGATAGTTACAAATGACTTGCTAATCACAATGAATGTAACTCAAGATTTTTTTATTTTTATTTTTTTTTCTAAGTTGTCATTCCTACACTCTCATTTTTTGTGATCTTGGCGCACATACTTCTTGTCCAAAAATTAAAAAAATACAAAAATACAAGGAAAAATATATATATAAATATAAATAGTATAAAAATATATATATATTTTTTTGGTAAGCATATAAAAATATTATTTTTTACTATATTTGATAAAAAAAAAAGTACTGAGTATTATGTGAGTCATAGAATATCGAAAATATTTTCCATTTCTACGTTTCTGATTTCATGAGGCATCGACACGTGTGAGAAGCATCCGATATGGTAATTTGGGCTCCTACTCTAATCCGTCGCGTTTGTGTTAGAGATAAGGATTCGACAGCGATATGACCTTTGGCTGATTTTGTAGAATGACAAATCACGATGAACATATGAAGATGCGGCATCTTTCAATTCCTTTCCCATATTCATTCATTTCAGAAACAGGACAACTAATGTGAGCCATTGGTTCTGCCTTCACTTTTGCCATTATATATGATACTATGTTATTCTCACAATTGTTTGATGATGGGTGGGAACAGGACTCCAACTTTTTCCTTTTTCCACATCTAACGTGGTACATGATGGATATAGGTCAGATTATTAACGGTTGGAAATGGATCTGGATAGATATGAATCTAAACCAGATTTCAGGAGAAACAAAATAGGGAAATACATTCATTTAGCATCAGCATCACTTGAATTAAATTTAAATAATATTAGACTATCTCACATGTACTTGCTCAAATATCAAAAATAATTCTAGAAATTTTTGTGTGATTGTGATCTTTTGAATCAAATGGATAATGTTTTTAAGAATTTTTTATTTTTAATTAACTAGCAACTAAATGTTAATTTGGAGATATACTTTAAGGGCAAAAATATTTAAATATTATTATTTAAATAAGAAATTACGAAAAGATAACATTTTGAAATCAATTTACGATTCTATTCTAGACAGTCGTGTCCAAAATAGGCGTGACTAATCGCGCTCAATTTAGACACAATAGGGTGCTTGTTTGCGCACAATTCAGGCGCGACTCAACACCCCTATAAATATTTCTCCTTCACTATCACTTTCACACTATCTCTCTTCCTTCTCTCCAAGATTTTGCTCTAACTTCTCTCTAAATTTCTCGAGGTTTTTGCGCAACGAAACTTTGTCAGTCGAGTAAGTCTTAATATCTACATTCTATGTATTTGAATTACATAAATATCTATGTTATATTAGTGACCTAGGAAATTGTTATTGAGTTAGAAAATTGTTAGTGACATAGGAATTTGTTAGTGACTTAGGAAATTTTAGTAACCTAGGAAATTGTTAGCAACTTATAGTATAAATAGTGACGTAGGATATACTTCTGCGAGATGGTTAATGATTTATAACATGCTTAGTGGCTTGAAACATGGTTAGTAACTTAGGTTATGATTAGTGATTAGGAGAATTATAGTGACTTATAATATATGCATAGAGAATTTTATTCATGCTTAATAAATTAGACTATGTATACATACTTTCAAAATGACTAATAATATTGATCGTAGTTAGTCTAATTTATTTTGTGTAGTGACTTAGGACATACATGACGAATATATTATACTTCGTAATTTTGCATTAAAATTAATAAATTTTTATTTGTAATTGAATATTTTTTTAAATCTTGTACTAGACATGTAAATTGTTTGAAATTAAATTAATTATA